TGCATAAGGAATTTTTGAAAATTGCCATCTGGTGGTCAAACTTTGAACTATTTTTTATTACAGAAATCTTTTCCCCATAGTCCATATAACGTATACACCAAATTTCATCAAAATCGGATAGGCAGAACGGGTTCTACAGAGGTCTGAATAGGGTCACTATAATTATAACTACCCTGTATAATCAAAATTAATACGTAAGTAACTAATTTTTTTAATATTTTTGGCTTTAGACAGCAATTTGGAAAAATGATGAATAATCTTTTTTTAAACTGGAACAGTAGTCTTCTGTATTGAGATGGTCAATTCAGTCAGTTTTATAATTTTAATTTTTCATGAAAATATTACTGAAGTAACAAGTACTATAAATTATTTTACAGAATGAGTTTGAAGGTTATAGTATCGCTATGGAATTGCTATTAAATATTTATAAATCTGAGAACTACAAGAATGGGAGACGTTTCATTTTCATTTAACTTTTGACGAGTATGTAGAGTGAATATTGAGTAAACGTATATAATTGAAAATGGACTGAAGTTTACTTAAAAACATTTATTACATAAAAAGTTTTGCATTACATTCATTCCAATAACCACGGGCAGAGTCACAAGTGTTTTCATATAGCACCAAGCACATTACGTGATGTAATATTCTATCACAATATAACATGCTGTAGTTTTTGAGTGACAGAAAATTAAAGACAACAATTAAATAGAAAGATTTAAAAACATATCCAGATAGGAAACATAAGAATATATGGCACTTTTTACATATACGTTCATACAACAGTAAAATTTATAAGCAACGATGGCAATGAGCATAGCTCATCCATGGCACAATCCTATGAACATGGCAAGTTCACTTTTCCCGTTGCACTGGCAGTTCCTTCCGCTGCGGTCGCAAGAGCAGCGGGTACATTCATTGCAACAGTTCCTGGTTGAGCAGTCCTCGTAATCACGAGCGCAGTTGCGTTGTCTATGGAATAAATAAATAAATATAATTTCTAATAAATAATCTTAATACATTTATGAAAACGAAAAGGATTGTGTTCCAGGTTTTCCTTTCGGTAGTTTTAGATCAGGCTTTTGAATTTTAGAATTTTAGAAACGCAATATTAGGATATTGCCGACTGATATTTCTCAACTGTTATAAAATGATCATAAATAGCTTTTCTGCTTCAGATTACAACTTTATTAATTTTACTATTTTTAGTATTTTGTATTTTTATTCAGAGACTTGTGTTGTTAAACTTGATTTTTCTTACATCTTTTAAATCAAATTAATGATATTCATACTGATTTTGAAATGTTTGGTTTCTAAAAGATTAAATTTTGTGTGAATTTATGAAAGATGTCTTTTATATTCCAACTTATAAGTGTTGAACTGATGAAGACACAAATTTTGTATTTAATTGAAATTTTTTTAACTGTTGCAAATTTGTATGTCAGATAAAAAATAAACTGATTCATTTATTTCTATCGATATACCAGGCCCCTGAAGAAAATATAGTAGGAGATGCAAGTTCTTTTTTGTATTTAATTTTAATTTTTGCACTCGTTGTTCATTGGATTTTGGAACTAGATGCGTTCAAATGTTTTTCTCCCATAGTACCAAATAATGCTTTTGCAAAATAATTTATTTAAAAATTACGAACCTACTTATTCCAAATTGAATACGTTTTGAATTTGAAATTTCTGTGTAATTTATATATACATCTATACCAGCGAACCATTTTAATCACATGCACATATACATTATCAAACAAACAAAAACAGCAAGAAAAATTTTCTTTTAGTTACATTTTTTATATAAATACAAATAAGTAATCAGAGTAAATAAGTTATATGAAAGACATGTACGTAGTTTTTTTTCAAAATTTTATCACATTGTATCTGCATTGTTGCCGTTTGCATTCAATACTTGTGACAGAAAAACAAATTATGTTACAGTGGATGGTCAAAAATATAGAAACACCTTGTGAAATGCATGTTTAAAAAGAAAGATTGATTTTAATGAGATATGTAGGTGGCGCTGGCGTTTTTGACTACTGACGCCAACTATACAACTTCGTAAATTACTGTTATGTGAGGTTGTCATTGTAAATTACTGTTTGTGAGGTTGTCATGCCTTATGTAGAGTAACAGACTTCGAAGTGGCAAATTGTGGGAGTATGGAGGTGCTTCCGTAGCATGGTAGCCGAGGTGTTAGTGTTTTAAGAGGTACTGATGAAGCTTTATTCCGCATATTGAAAAGCGGAAAAACATAATCTGCTAAATCACAGCGCGGACGAAAAGGGTCCTGAGTGATCGTGACAGACGACATTAAGGGCGCTTTGTGACGAAAAATAGAAACCACGCGGCAAAAAGTTTACTGCTGAATAATGTTGTGTTACCGACCCTGTGAGTACCAAAACAATTGGAAGGGAGCTTCAAAACAGGGAAATTCTGGCCGTGCGGACATTGAGAGCACTAATCAGTGATGCTAATACCCGTAACAGGAAAGTGGGTTTTTTTTTAAGTCATAAAGCCGGATATAGAGAGTGAAGCGACTAATAGGTCTGACGAGTCTTCTTTACCTTGTTTCCACTTCTGCCAAGTTTACGTCTAGAGAATGCCATCTCAAGCCTATATACAGAGCTTGTTGCAAAGTGAAACTTGGCGGGGGTTTGTATGGTTGGGCAGCCATATGTGGTTTTGCTAGCCCCTTGATAACGTGCAGCGGCACAGACTGCCAAGACTTATTGTGAACATTTTAGACGATCAAGTCATCCCATGGTACAAACTTTGTTCCCCGATGGTGATGGTGTTTCCAAGCGACAAAGCCCCTCTTCACACGCTCACATTTCCAGGATTGGTTTTTCTGAGACGAGATGAGTGACATCCCCCTGGCCCAGTCACCAGACTGAATATATGAACTTTGTGGTCTATTGGAACGGAAAGGCGCTTCGTTATCCACCGCCAACATGTTATCTGAACTGCCCCGTTTGCAGGAAGATGGTATAATATTCCCTTGGCAAACATAAGGAATGTATTATCCATTCCGAGAAGACTGCAAGCTGTTTTGGATGCCAACGGGTTTCCTACACCATATTAAGCAAAGAAACATGTTTTTATAAAGGTGTTTCCGTATTTTTGTCCAACCCCTGTACCTTTTCAACCCGAAGTTCTCAGATTGTTGTGTACGATTCCAAAAGTAGACAACGTTCTTTCAGTCTTTGCAGATGAAGCTCTTGCTATATTTAGCATTTTAATAATATCCAGGTTGTCCCCCTAAGCATTTTGTCAGAAGATCTATTGAATGAACGATCCAAATGTTATCATTTATTCGACTGCCTCATTTTCAGAAAAGGTTCTACAGATTTATAGGAAACGAATCATAAATTTCAAAGAATTACTGGAAAAAAACAGTATTTCATATTGTTTTTACTAATCCTAATATATGTTCCTTTACACTTGGCAGTAGGGCTTCAGTTTTATATTTTGGTGATGAAATATATGCTAAAATGTGCTGATAACAGTGTTTGTTCATATCGTGTTTCAAATAGTTTTATGCAGGCATTATCAAACGCTTTAAGCTAATTTTCAAGATATTTACAAACTAAAGTTTAAGTAATGCTGCAATTATCCTTTTGAATTTTGTTCAAAGTGACTAAAACTGGCTTCAGATGAAGTAAGAACTCTAGCGTACATCAGATACTGCTTTTAAACCAATTTTATGTATTCATTAAACATAGCTCGGGGCAAGCTGCTGATTTTAAGATTTATTTAAAGATAATTTTTGACTTGAATAACATACTCAGCAATTTGTGACTTGAATAATAGAAATCTTTCGACAGACTCAATAATTCGAAATGTGTCGTCAGCAAACGAGACCCACTCGATGGGGTTAAATGTGGTCTCGATCGTTACACCCGAGAGAGACTCGTCGCCTTCTAATTTCTAACCTTCATAATGTGGCAAAAATCTAAAGAGGCGATTTATTGTCTAACTAGCCACGCTCTTCCCAGAGCAAGATCTGCATAGATGCAGAGTATATATAAATACAATTACAATTTAACACACACGCAAAGCAAAACAAAACAAAAAAATAAATAATGAAAAAAATCTGAAAGGTTTCAGATTTTAAATTACGTCCAAATTTTTTTTTTAACGTTTCGTGTGTTACCTTTATTTATTAAATATCATGTTCTTCGCACTTAAACCATAAATTTTAGTTCAATATCAATGTCGCAAAATAAATTTAAAATGAACCTATTTTTAGAATTTCCAATACACAGTTCCGCGCGCTGGCGATAAAAAGATTTTTCCCCCGTAGATTGTTGCCATTGCTCGCTTTATATCGTTGAGTTTGTTACTCACAAATTCGTTAAAGTTTTACAAAATATGAAATCTATAATAAAACAAATTCCAAATTTCAAATTCGTAGGAGGTCCCATATTCGTAGGAGGATAACGTCATTCAAAATTCGATGTACCGTGGTTTTATCACAATGCGAGAAATAGAAATACATTTATGCAGATTTTTCATTATTTAATTTCTTCAAATATAATGCAGGTCTGTAACATTTGGTGGCAACAGTTTGAAAAGTGAAACGGACATTTATAGTAATTCAACGCAAAATTCCAAAACGAAAACAATAGTCCTTCAGGGACAAAGCCCTTTTGGACTAACAACAACAACAACAACAACAAAAAAATAAATTTAAAAAAAATGTATGCAGGTACTATTGAAGGAGGTAGTTATACTACTAATACTTTGTGTAATGAGGCTTACTGTTGTGCTTCTGCTTTGCAGAGTATCATTCCATAGTCTTATTACAAATCATGGAGACTTATGAACTAAAAGCGGAAAGCAGAGCACATGCAGTTTTCTTCAAACAATTAAATGTCTCCGGCACTGACATACAGTTAAAAAGTTGTGTCTTGTTTTCTATGCCGCAGCCCTACAGATAAAATGCATATCGGTGAGTTCTGCATTCGTGTAGCGATGCACGCAGACAAAATTCGCAGTAGGAATGCCGATTTAAGCTAGCAGAACGTTTTTACAGTCCACTCAACATCGCCCTTACCCGGTACTCACATTACGAAATCTGCTTTTTTTCTGTCCCTTCTACTCATTTTCTCACATTTTTTCATTACTTCACATTTTTTCAAAAAAATATTTTTGAATCATCTAGCATACATGTATGTATATATATGTAGGCTAAACTAAGAATAACATTGATTTGCTATGCTTACCGTTTGTGTGTTCACTTGAGTAATACTTTTATTTCACTTAAAAAGCATTATTTTTTTTAGTTAACTATTAATTCAATTAAGCTAACACTGGAGCAAAAGGCCTAGTTTTCGAGGTCTCTCTAATTTCCACATATCTTTGGCTCTAAAATTATTCATGTTTTCACTTCGGTTTTAAATGACAGATATGATGATGTTCTTCTTAACGCTTCCTAATAATTCAGATTTAATGCAAAGCAAAGTTCAAAATAGAGCTTTTTTTAAACTTGTCATAAAATTATGTGCAGTATCTCTGCAACTTTACATTTCTCTCATAAATATCAAGAAAATAATGATAATAATAAGAAAATAAAGATAGAAATCAAGAAAACAAAGATAATAATATAATAGATATCCAACAGTCATATTTTCAAAAAGTAGAGGGAATAAAATTATTGCATCAACTAGTAATTGTGAAACAAGTGATGTATGTTAACAATTTCTGGTAAGGAAGTTCTGCTTGTTTATTTAACTGAGATAAAAGAAAATATCAGTTCCTTATCTTTTACTCTAATAACAGCATCATCTGCTATTTTACTGAATATGATATAAAAGTTTTCCCTAAAATTTTATGGGAATACTTACACAAACTCTTCTCTTACTATCTAAAATAATAATAAATATATAGTTTTACACAAAAGATAAATCAACCGATAAAAGTTATTACCCTTAATTTTTATTTTACATCAACAGTCAAATAAAAGTCAACAAGTCAAATAAAAGTGTCCAAGCTAGCAAAATTTTTTAATTCAATAAAGCATTAGAATTTATACATACCTTGCATTGTTATTGTAATTTCTCGTGTTATCGTCTTCTGTGAATACATCGTCATCTAAAAGAGTTCTCCTTTCCTCTGGACCTAGTCTACCTGTAAATTAAATTAGTTCAAATCTTAATTAGTTAAGCTGAGTTATTCATTTTAAAATATTTCTTATGGAGGAAAGAAAACATTTAAATATTCTTTCCTTTATTCATTTTTTACTTAACTTGCCTCTTGCGCAGCCAAGTCACCTAAAATACTTAATGTAAATGAAAGTGGTTTTTATAAGTGCAGCTAATGTAAATTCATAAAATATTTAATATTTCTGATTCGATATTTCAAGCTTTTAATGAACATTTATCTAAACCAATCATGTTAAAAAGCAGAAAAAATATTCTTGAAAATTGTGTTTGTTACTTTTACGGCGCTTCCTTTAATATTCAATAACCTTCCATATAAATTAAACATCTTAAGCTTTACTGAATGACAGCACGCTGCGGCTGGGAAAATAAAAGTATTTTATTTCCGGCAGCTTTAACACATTGCTTTAAAATAGCCAACTTTGTTGATTAAAACTGAAACATAATTTTAAATTTCATAATTATTAAAAAATAAAAAATATTGATATTGAGATTTACATTTTGCTAACTGATATAATTAAACATCTCAATGATCGAAGGATTGCAAGGAAAGGACCAAACAGTGCTTGAACGTTTTGAATATTGGAAAGGCATCGCTAAAAAATTAAATATTTCTTCCGTGACATTAATACTAGTACGTAGGAATACTTCCCAAATATAAAGCGCTTGCAAATGCATGAACCTTAGACCTAGGTGAATTTCAAACCTACGCTGCCTTAAGGAAGAATTTTCCAGAAGATTCAAGGCCTTTGAAGCTTGTATGCCTATATTTTCCTTCCTAATCAAACCAGATTTAGTAGACACATTAAATAATCCCATCCGATTTGTCAATTTTTGAGAGGATGGAAATTGATAATTCTGAAATGGATCTTCAGAATTATGGAAAGCAAAATTTACTGAATTCTGAAAAGATCTGGAAGATAACCCTAATGGTAAATCAACAGCTATTTTAAATTGCTGTATGTCAGTGCCGGAGACATTTAATTGTTTGAAGAAAACTGCATGTGCTCTGCTTTCCGCTTTTAGTTACAAATATCGATGTAAACAAATCTTTTCTCATATAAAAACTATTTTGAGTCTACAAAGAAGTTGTTTAATAACTGAATATTCAGAATCATGTGTCAAATTGAAAGTCACATATTATACCTCTGATATTGCGATATTAAGTAGAGCGGTACAAGGACAAGGCTGTCATTAAAATTAAAAATTTTTATTTAACTGTATTGAAGGAATGCTTATATTTTATAGCGCTCATTTTTATTTTAATAAATATGTTTAGAAGATATATAATACATAATATATGCAAAATTTAAATTTTTTATGTATATTGAATTAACAGTTATATTTTATTCTGTTAATTTTTATGTTAGTATCTTTAAATGATACATAATTAATATATAACAATATTATAAATCTGCATTCTTACCCTCTATTGCTCTGCATTCACTGCCGCAGGAATCGAATTGTTTCAAATATTTCCTGCTGTGCGGTATCTTGAGTCATATTGATGGACTGGTCTAGCACATATTTTCACCAAAGATAAAGACGGGTTATAAGTTGCCTGGCTGTCTCTTAGGAGCCAGAATTTAGCTTTGAAATGCATTGGTTCCATTTAGTTAATCAAGTTTACTTACATCTCTTTTTATCTATGTTATCTCGATTGTTTTGAGTTATTTCAAACATAAAATTTCTCGAATAAGAAATCTGGTAGAAGAGAGCTGCGTTAGTCTTTAAATTTGAATACCGACTCCTTACATGGACTTATCTGCCATTTGCATTTGTTCTTTAATGTGTAATTTGTAATTGGCCTTGAGATATTTTCCTTCAATCTTCAATACCTTACTTATTTCGACGTCCGGTATTTTTTTTTTTTTTTTTTTACTAAAAGTATGATAAAGTATGTCAGTTTTCCGTGGACTAAAGTGGATAATAGAAATGATTTGATCGAAACTGCGAAAAGAACAGTATCATACCTGGTCTTGTACACATTTCAGGCAATTTTATATTGGCCTGGTTTAGAATGTGAAAAGGAAAACTTAGTTGGAATGTATATGGAGCAGCAGCTAAAGACTATTTGATCCTCTGGCTCCAATATCAGAACTTCTCGTCTAGTCTTCCTTGTTTGTCTTATCTTCAACATCAGACATTTTCCCCTAATTCTCTTCATATTATTCGCAGTTTTCTAATTTTCATTATATAAGAGTTCGACTACCTTTTTTGCAGATATCTTCCTTCTCCTCATTCATTCATTCGTTGTTCCTTTCACTTTCACTATTTGCAGTTTTTGTTTTGTTTCCTTTCAGTAGTAAAAGTCGTTTTTGTATTTACAGTAACTTTTTTCTCCAAGTAGGTCATATACATTACAAGTAGTCAATTAAGTACGCAACAGACATCCTTTATACAGTTATACCGTATTTCTAAAAGCTTATTTTTCATGACCTGACAGCTTTAATACTCAACTGGTATTGATATGTCTCTAATTCCTCTTATTTGCTACTGCATTTAAATTCAAAACTATTAGGAAACTTCGAATGAACATGACCTCAGCCGCTTGGAACTCAGTATGAATAATTTATCTGTTCTATAAAAGGGTATGACTGTTAAAGCTATAGAACGAACAATACAATCTCATCTCTAAGGTGGGCTCAAATTGGCGGCCCGCAAAGCAATTTTATGCGTGCAGCGAAGATATTTCAGCTATGCATTTTGTTGTTAAAATGTCGAGATTTCAGTTATTTGAAGTCTGAGTTTATAGTACTTTCAAGTCTACTAAAAACGAACGTACCAGAAAATCGGTAAATGGAGTTACTTAACTTGCAATGTAATATAACTCTTAATCAAATATTTGACTATTCAGATTTTATTAATTTTCATTCGTGCTTGCGAAAAAATAAACAAGTTCAATTAGGAAATTTTCCACTAAGAATAATTTCTTTGTTTAGGAATGCATTTATATTTGCACAGCTTTCTTTCATAGCTGAATGTTAACAAGAAAAGAACCCGACTGACCGATGAGCATCTACGAATGCGATGAAGATTGTTTCTCGTATTTTCTCTCGAAGGCTACAAACTTTACCAAAATTGAAACACCATTAAGTATCAAATTATAGTAAGGCATAAGGAAGTTTATAAATATTTACATACAAACATATATATTTTTATTTATATGGCGAAGGAATTTTCAAATTTTTCCCCTTTGGTACGTTTTCTGTGGAAATTGGTTCATCATTTATTCATTTCTTGTTTAAATTAAGTTATTTAATCGTCAAATAAAAATGTTAGAATTATTTAAAAGAAATATCAGTCTAGAACTTAATATTTAGCTTTCCAAATTACAAAGTATAACCGACAAAATTGTGTTACGGATGCCAAACTTGGGATTTCAAGTAGAGAATAAATATAAATTTGAATTTTTTCCATTGCTATATTATTATTTTTATACACGTTTTGATAAATATTTAGTAAGAGAAATTTTCATTGATTTAAAATATATTTTTTGTTTTTGTACCTAACAGTTTTCATTTTGTAAAGAAAACGAAAATTTGTTTTCAGTCAGTGCATTCGGTTCGTGCGTAATTCGAGTTTGAAACCACGATTTAAGCAATAAAACCTCAGCCTTATTCTGTAAAATCATCTACAGGACAATTCGAAATCAAAAACATGAGTAGATCTGAATAATTAAATTTCTGTGTAAAATACAGAGAGATGCTTTCTAGAATCTCAAGAACTATCAGCAGTATGCATCAGAACATAAAATACAAAATAATAAGAATTTTTAAGATGAAAAATACTCTAAATTATTCTTAGCTTAAAGAGAGACTAAAATTCACAGCTATATGACAGACCAACTTACACTACACTCTTTGTCGCTCCAGTAACGTGCTAAATAGCAAAATGCATGACAGTCATTAGAATCATCCTGAAACAAATGATTATCGCAAACACTTTAAATGGCTCATATTTACCTATGGTACACCAAACTAAGAATCCAAATTCCTTATCGTTTGTTACCGATGCTTTACGGGAAATCCTTTTGTCTCGTAACACATCGCGTTATGTTGAGAAACAAAAGGATCTTATCAATGGATAAATTCTACAGTCCATTTCAGTCCACATATGTTGATCTGCTTATCCGATGTGATTAATGCCGCGACACGGTTAATTAAGATTTTGTATTCAATAAGGTCAGATGGCAATCGTGGACCCCAGAATAATGTCTTTAACAAAACACCTTCCATAAAGGAATGGGGTCTGGAGTCTAGGTAACGAATGCATTATCCTTTACTCTTTTAGCCTACTAAGTACGTATATGTCGCTTGACAAAGAAATTTTACATAGAGCATCTGTAATATATGGCAAGAAACTTGGTTAGTTTAAATTGATGAATCACAGGTAAATATGTACCGTTTGCTATCGGTATTGTACGCATGAAGGTAGTTAATGTACTAATCCTTTTTCCTCCTTTCCTTTATCTTTTATTTAACCCACATAATTACCTCAAAGATACAGTTAAATAGTTACATTCAATAAATATAAAAAATATAATTACATCAAATTATGTTAAAAAATAATATACTAGTCTTTATTTAGTCCATGAGACAATTCTGTGCAAATTCTCGCAATTATTCTATGAGATTCGTATTATTGTCCCAGATATCTTACATAGTTTTTAGAATTCTTTCATCACCTTTTCTTTCACTAACTTTTCAGTAGTTGCTTTGATACATTTTTCTCCTAATTTGTGTACTCGGCTTATGAATTTATTACAGTAATGAAGCCGAATTATTGTCTTTCAAGCGGGCTGGGCACAGACGAAGAAAAACCTGAAAAGAGTGGGAATAAGGGTTTAGATTGCAATATCGAAACATTGAGATCGAAATGACAAGATTTGAGAGTCAAGAGTGAAATATCATGGACCGAATTTAAGAACTACACTTTTTTTACAAATCATCGTTCAGTTTTCTAAAGGTTTATGCTTTTTTTAATGTTATTCTTATTTATCAACTTCCAATTTTGCAAATATCTTTTACAGTCTGCTCGATTTCCTAAAATCAAAAGTACACAGAAATTTTCCTTCTAAAAAATTTTCAGTCCAATTTTTTATCACCAAACTCAGATAAAAATAGTATTTAATATCATGAAAGGTATCTTTACTATAGTTTCCATTCTACGTGAAATTCTATGCGATGTGATAACTACGGAAACATGTGTAAAATATATATAAAATATTTACATTACGTAAGAAATCTAATCAGGAAGAACAAGAATAAAAAAAAAAAATGACACCTATGCTCTAAAAATATTGTTCGATTATGAAACATTAAAATTGAATATCATTTAATTCATTTATGGAGAAAGCATGTGTATAAAATCGTTACATACAAAGGCAGTTGATAAATTATCAGTTTAAACAGAAAATGAACTGGAAAAGGTATTTTAGCGAAAAAAGGAAACCTATTTTTATTTTACAAATTATTACATATATTTGCTAAAGCTGCAGAGTTTTTAATTCTGTTTAAAAAAAAATCGATTCCTATTCTTGAAGCCTTTTCTTGACCAAAGATTTAGATTTTCCGTCACAGTTGAAGTGCGTATTTTTCGATTGCTTCTTTAGTTTGAGGAACAGGGTGAAAAGCTGGAAGTAGGCCTGATGACACTGTGAATGCGGCAGTATTAAAACGTCTGAGCACTTAATTGCATCTTTTTGATGGCATTTGAGTGAAGCTTGGCATTGTCATTTCGTAGCCACATTTTTATTTTTTTATTCTAATCAGTTTGATTACCTCTCTTCAGAGAAGGCTCTGGCAACCATTGTTCCATGTAATATGGACAAGACAACAGCAACATCAGTTTGATTCTTCTTTTAAATGCAGCAAAGATTTGAATATAACTGCGAAAGACTACTGTTCCATTTAAAAAATATTGGTAAAAATAACACATTCAAGATTTCAAGACAGTCAACATGGCCTTCCTAGTCGAGGTCTGAGATTTTCAAGAGAGGGAATCCCTTATAGCAATAAACCATGAACTGTTAAATAACTGATCCAAATTGCTTCCCTTGAAGTGGTTTTATTTATAAGCAAAACTCATCTCCCCTCCTACTTTGTAAATCCCCGCAAAATTTCATTAGAAATGTGAACTATGTTAGCTTTCATTTTCTCAGGCAGCATGCATGAACCCCATGCGACTCACTACAGTTTGTGGAATACAGAATGAGAATAATGTATCTTTCACTTTGCCTTGATAAGATGAGCACAGTTTCTTTTCGTTTCTGCACGTTAGTTCCACAATTTGATATTGATTAAACTGGTCACTTGCAGTCATAGACTTAATAAATATTTGTATGTTTAAATTCCGAGATTGGTAGAAGAATTTTCTGAGTACTAACACAATAAACTTGAAACGGCATTGTAAAGATATTAATCCTTTACTACATTTCCATGTGGATCAAAATCCTAATTTTCTGTAAGATGAGGATCATAGTTGTATGTAGAGACAATATCAAATTTTTCCAAAACCTAATAACATTACAAATTTTAGCTAGGACAAAAATGTAATTTCCTTAATAAATATTCATATAAGTTTTGTTTTCTCCATGTTATGATACATAGCTAATGAACACGCTGTTCTCCATAGGAAATCAGTAGTTATTAATATTTTTAAATGAAGCATATCTATTTTGCATTTAGAAGCAAAATTTAGAATGGATAAAATAATAGAAGAAGTATGGAATATGAGTACAGGAAAAAGGCTTTATAATCCTAGAATAGAATTAAAAAGCAATTAGAGAAAAGAAAGCTTGGGGAATTATGTAGAGCTTTCGCTCATTTCACCTGGATCTTTATTTGTAGATTTTTTCAGGAGCTTTTGCAAGTACTTTAGAGGCAGATGTGTTAATAAACTTGATATTTTACGAAAGTTAACGCTTTGAAGAAAGTTAAAAGCGAAAATGCAACAAATACAGTTAGATTTATTTAATTTCTGTAATTTCTGTAAAAATAACAAAAAATCCATTTTACAGAAGAATAATTAATGTTAATAAATGGTAATATTCAAAGTAAGTTTACGTTACGTTTTAAGCTGACGTAGAGCCGTATATATGTGATACTTATATGGTATTTTGAATCGGATATTTTACTTCAGCAGTAATCGTTATTTTTTCTTATTTATGTTTGCGAAGTCTTCTAATAGCCTTACATTATTATCTTGCCTTGAAATGAACCTGATGCTGAGGGCATTATTTCCTGATACTATTTTTTAGACTCTGATATCTATCTTTACCAATTATATAGATACATTTTTTAGATCCGATTGGTTTTTAATTTTATTTAAACCTATATATATATATAAAATAAGAGTTGAATACGGAGAATTTCTGATCAGCATTACAACTCGCTATGTCCATTTCATAGTTCCTCCCATAATTTTATAAAATGCTTCCAGATTTATGTTTTCATCAATTTCATTTATTCCATTTCAATAGCTTCAGTATTCGAATAATTTTTAATTGCTTCTGAATAATTACTAGGAAGTAATAATATGCAAGATGGCTCATTTTTATTGAAAAAATACCACTTTCCGTTAAGTTAGTATCTCAAAGTTCACCATCACTACAAAAATAATTTGATAACTTATCAATACTTATTTCGTTTTCATTACTATGGTAATTACACGAAGCCATATTCAGAATGGACAAAACTGCATAATTAAAGACAATTTCTTGTAAAGTCAGACAGCGTTATCTCAGTCGATCATGTCTATCTCTGTCTCTCTCTTACTTGCCTGTCATATTATTGAGATTACAATTTTTCATTTCCAGTTTCTTGTTTGCTGGACTGTGATCAGTGTATCACCTTCAAATTAGATTACTCGCTTTCAAAGTTTCCTGAAGAGTGATCACAGTCGCTTGCTTCCAAAATACTAATATTTACATAAACATATTTTAATGAAATTGGATTATTCTGTACTTCGCATTTCTCAATAACCGACAATTTTATCGCTAAATTTGATAGTAATTATCACCAAAAATTATGATTCGATAGCATAGAAATGGAAAAAAAATTTATGATATTTACATGAAAAGAATTTGACAACATAGACAAGGAAAAATATTTCAGATATTTTTCTCTTCAGGGTAAACATATAATGCTAATTATTGATAATTTTTTGTTTACTTACTTGCTTCATCGGCTGTAGTATAACAAATGACCACAATTAAACTCACTCCTAACATCAGTAGTAATTTCATTCTGAGCTGCTAAAAATAAAAATAAAGATTTGATTAAAATTTCATTCCAAAAATTTTAATGTCATTTCATGATTAGAGATATCATTCGTACTAATTTAGAAATTTCAAATTAACGTACTGAAAGTTTTAATTGTTTAGAAAATTGTAGAAGTAAGATTTTGTAGAGTAAATTTTTTTTCAATTGTTTAGAAAATTGAAGTTTGCCAAAGCAGGAACCATGAAAAATGAGCAATTTCCTCACCAGGATTTGAATTCCAGATCTCTCGACAGTAAGCCGGACGTGTTTTCAATTACATCCAAAATGCACGTGGTTAGGAGAAAGCAAATACCATATAAATTCATATTTTATTAACGAAAGTATTATGTTACGATGAAGAAAAATACTCTCTTCGACTGGAAAACAAAATTTGTAGAGGGGGGGGGATAAGATTCTCTTTCGCTATGCAGTCGAAGTGAATTTGCTTTTTCTCTAGAAATTATTTAAGCAACATCAAGAGAAATTTCGAAAGATAGACATGAGATTTTTATTGCGCAATCCAATGCCCGAGAAATACGATAATGAAAGGGAAAGACATTTTAAATCGAAGAAAAACTAGCATTTTTCGAGGGATTTACTGAAGAAAGTTTCCATAGCAGTTTTATTGAAAAGATGTTGGTAGTTTGCTGAAAAATTAGAATATTGGATTTTACTGTGACTAAACACACAGAAATAATATCATTTACAAAACAATTATTACAGAAGTCAAACTCAAATTTTGGGTCAGCATTTTTATGGATTATTCAAAGACAAGTATTTGCGTAAAAAATATACATCTCTCGTCAAATTTTTGTCCTGGACTATATTCTAGAACGATGCCAATCGATAATACTGTTGCTAAAAGCAACGTATCATCCTTTGGAAAAAAATGGAAAAGTTAAATATGACTGGAATTGTTAAAAATATCCACTTTTGTTTTGAAAAGCAAAAATATACTTTGATTCAATGATAAAAGAAATTTGACAGGAATTTATAGAAATTTGAAGGATGCCCAGGAAACAAACAGGGCATTAAATAACTTTCCTAGGAAAAAGGGATAGCAAATTTATGAGCAAAGAGAAAGAAGTTCCTCTTAGTTCCACCTCTTAGTTCGGCAAACAATAATTCGCCTCCACCAAGATTTGACAAACTTCAGGCTCATCTTAAGGTCCACTAAGCATTAAAGCATTTATAATTCCGTATCAGTCAAAGATGTGATAGATGACTGTGGATATTAAATAAAAAGAGTTCCTTCTGGAATAATAAGTAATAACCTTGTTCGATACTGTTGGAGATCGTTATACTATTTATTTTGAACATAAAAAGTAAAAGGTTATCATTTTATTTTACAATCAATGCTACTAGACGCAAGAAAAACTAAGAAATAATTTATTTGATAAAAATTCAAGTTACGAAGCAAGTGATAATTGAAACTGTTAGAATAATAATAAAACTCTAGTGACCGTTACATCTTCAGAATTTATACTATCACCGCCAATTTTGAATAGACAATCTTTTACATTTTATGCTAAAAATAAATAGCATAACTATCTTCAACAGAGGCTATTCACATGAGTGTAAGTTCATTGAAAAAAATGTTTCAGATGTAAGCATTCTTGATTGTTTCTATAAAACTCGACTTCTCCTGACGACCTCTTGGCTTAGTGGTAAGGGAAGTCGGCTGCCATAGCTTGGAACCCAGCTTCATATTCCAGAGAATTATATGTGTTTGTAAATAATTATAGATGTTTATTTTGGGGGCACAGGGGTATTTAAAATGCGGTATAACCAAAAATCCTCTCGATAGTTTGATATTAAAGGATATAAGGTATTTTCTTCATCCTTTCCAGCCGGACTTCGTGGTGTAATGGTAGCACACTCGACGCGTATTCGAGAGGTTCAGATTCGAGTTCCGGCGAGAGAACTGCTCATATTTCATGTCTCCTATTTTGGGGGGGGGAACACTAATGACTCTACAGCGGCTCCCGAACTAAGAGGTGGTAAACAATAATTCGCCTCCACCAAGATTTGACTATTTGGTCCCCTAATCTCCCTTCGCTCTTTAAAAGGGAGGAAGTATTTTCCAGCATGCCTTCGTGGTGCAACAATAAAACACTCAGCACATAGTCGAGAGGTCCAAGTTCGAGTCGCTGCGAGCCCACTGCATATTTTTCATATCTCCTGCTTCAAAAAAACCTAATGAGTCCACAACGAAAACGAGGTCTGCTCCGTTCCTTGAATTTTTTTTTTTTTTTTATTAAAATTGGAAATTGGACTGCAGTTGAACAGACTCGTAGTGTCATCTATTAGACGCCCAAGACCTCAGGCAGCGACAAGAGCAATCCTCTTGTTTAAGAAAAAGCCTGATCTAGATTGTTCTCAGATTAAGAGAATGAGTCATAACAACACGATTTTTCCTATTGTCTGGAAGGAATTATGAAATTAATTTAAACCAAAAGCAGATGTTTTGTTTGCTTCCAGCAAAAGACAAAAGAACCAGTTTTAAGCTAAAACATTTTAACTGCCTTTTTAGTCCAAAAGGGCTTTCTAGGCACTATTGTTTTCGTTTTGCGTTGGTTCACTATAAATGTCCGTTTCACTTTTCAAACTGTTGCCACTAGATGTTAAAGTCTTGCATTATATTTGAAGAAATTAAACAATGAAAAATTTTTAAAAAGAAAATCTGAAAGGTTCCAGATTTTAAATTCCGTCCAAAGGGGCGTTTTCTTAACATTTTGTCTGTTACCTTTATTTATTAAATATCACGTTCTTCGCACTTAAACCATAAAATTCTGTTCAAGCGTAATATCGCAAAATAGTTTTAAATTGAGCATATCTTTAGAATTTCCGATACAGAGTCTCACGCGCTGGAGATAAAAATGTTTTTTCTGTACAACGTTGCCATTGCTCGCTTTGAAATCTTGTGTTTGTTTATCAAAAATTCATTAAAAGTTTGCAAAATATGAAATCGATAATAAAACAAATTCCAAATTTCAAATTTGGGCTTCCACATGCCTATATTCGCAGTAGGATTACGTCATTCAAAATTGGATGGCTCTATGTACCGTTGCTTTATCACAATGAAAGAAATATACATATATTTATGCAGATTTTTCATTATTTAATTTCTTAAAATACAATGCAGGACTCTAACATTTGGTGACAACAGTTTGAAAAGTGAAACGGCCATTTATGGTGAACCAACGCAAAATCGCAAAACGAAAACAATAGTCCTTCAGGGACAAAGCCCCTTTGGACTAAAAATCTGCATAAATGTATGTATATTTCTCGCATTCTGGTAAAACAACGGTACGTACAGCCATTGAATTTTGAATGATGTTATCCTACTGCGAATATGGCCATGTGAAAACCCAAATTTGAAATTTGTTTTATTATCGATTTCATAGTTTGTAAAAGGTTAACGAATTTTTTTTAACAAACTCAAGGATTCAAAGCGAGCAATGGCAACGTTGTACAGAAAAAACATTTTTATCTCCAACGCGCGAGACTCTGTATCCGAAATTCTAAAGATTTGCTCAATTTAAAAACTATTTTGTGATATTGCTCTTGAACTGAAATTTATGGTTTAAGTGTGGAGAACGTGATATTTAATAAATAAAGGTAACAGGCAAAATGTTAAAAAAACGCTCTTTTGGACGTAGTTTAAAATCTGAAACCTTTCAGATTTTTTTCCCTGTTAAAAATGTGAATGGAAAAAGGCAAAAGTGGTAAATGCTTTATGCAACCAATCTTCTTATGATTCAATAAGTCCGCAGTGATGAAAATGAAGGAGAAATAGTAATATAAGAATGAATAGCCAAATTTTTGGACTAAATGAGTGAATAAGATAATTACAAAAATATATTTCGAATTTGACATCATAATAGCTTTAGTCAGTGTTTGCCGAGATGTCTGAAAGCATGTGAACACGGTTTTCAAGAAAATAAATGTACAGATATTTTCTAGTAGAAAAACTGGAAACCTCTATAAATTTTAGCACAATTTTAATTCAATTTTGCTTTAAACACTCGGCTGTGTGCAAGTCAATACAAAACTCTAAAAGATTTCATATTTTTACAATAGCCGTGCATCAATATCAGTTACATCTCAATGAACCCTTTTTAGATTACGCGTGCTTTCGGTTTTTCTACACGCCATGCGTACATTTTGTACATTTAACTTAATTCTTCTAATATTTGTATTTCTCTATTCGTTTTTCAACAAGCAGAGTGAAAATCCTCACAGTCGCAGCAAGGTGGCAACCTCTGGCTTTCTCTAAGAACATAATTAAAGAATAATATTAATATTGAACATTATAAATAAGCATGTTTTCTGAAGTGGCTCCAATGGCTTACATTTATTTTGGAACACTTTTGTTTTTTTCAATCTGAGTTACTAAATCTTAAAGAACTAACTTTTCTTTCATGTACAATAATGATTCGTCCTTTTCTTAAAAATATGCTTGTTTTTAAAAATGTTATTCGAAACGTTTTTGGTTTTAAAAAAAAAAGTAGTTTATCCAAAAGGATCTGAAAATAAACTGACACAGGTACTCGAATACTTTAAAAAAATGTTTTTACTTAATAAAAAATATTTATACTTAATAAAACAGGAAAATTACGGAACATCCAATACGTGTTTAGTTATCCTTTAGCTTTTCATGCGCTTTCAAGACCATTTATCTAATTTTCCATTTTGTTCTTTTCCTCCGTAAAAATCTCTTTCAATACACTTTCGAAGAAATATGTTTCCTTATTCTCTTCTCCATTTCACTCTATACATGTTTGATGGCGTTTAAGACGGAAGAATACGGAGGGTTTCTGCTAAATTCAGAACAATTGTATAATAACCAAAAGGAACATTTAGGACTGCATGTTTAGGCTGTGATTCTGATATAATTTCAATCTATTTTGTATTCCAAGTTTATGGTTCGAGGTTTTCATCAAGAATATTTGTATGCTTATATATTTTATATGTTATCCATATTTTTTTGTAATAAAAAGTAAATTTTCAATTCTAAAGGCAGCGAAACATATTCAAACCATTATGCTTCAACCTTCATGCTCAACAGTAGCCAATATGTTTTTCGGATTTCTTCATTTGACTTTCGCCTCACAGCAATTCATTGATTGGACCCAAATGCATTAAATATTAACTCATCTGCAAATACAACATTATTTCAATATGGTATATCTTTACTGATCATGGATTTAGCGAAAGCGTATTTTTATCGTTTTCTTGTTGATGAAGAATTTTCTTCTTGCTGATCATCTTTCACATCCATGTGTCCTCGAAGACTCTTCTAACAGTTTCAGGGTCCCTTTTTATTGCAAACCGGCCGTCCTTCTGAATCCACTGCAAATTTTACATACCTAATTTTTGGGTTTTGCTTGATTTTTCTCCGATTCTCCGATTTATTCGTGTTATCTTTGAATTTGGTCCAGACTTCAGAGCATTTTGAACAGTTCCGCTCAGTTTCTATCGTTTAATACATGAAAGGTGGTTGAACGCTTTGCATCACGGGTTTTTTTGGATATTTCTTTTATTATCTTGATACCTTATATTATCTTATTTACATCTTTAAAATCATGAACAGTAAAATTTCGAACGAAACTTACATTAATTTGTAACGCCTTAGCATGTTCACTTCAAGTATGAAAATGTTAACATACTATACTAAGCAAGAAATAATTGCTAAATGCAGATGACAATTTTTGCGATGTACGTTTTTATTTAAAACGAAAATATATGACAAAAAACATAGTATTTCAGACCATCTTAACGAAACTTTTATGTGTCCGAATTATTATATGAGTTACTGATTAAAACTTTTGGAATAAATTATTTTATTGCAGAAAATATTTTGATAATATCTAATTTGTAACAAGCAAGTCATAAAATAGAAAAAAAAAGTAATATGTAAATAAAATATGGAGTCTATGCTTCAGTATTTAATGCAAAATCTATGCTAATAAATTTCAAATATACAATTGTCCGAAAACAAATGTGACCCTACTGTATATTCTCACGGAAAACCGAAATCGTATGAAAGAACGGAATAGAAAATGTTTTGAGTCTGCAGTGATTTAATTTAAAAAATAATATTAGGCATTTTAGAGTAATATTATATTAAAGCATTTTGTAATTATTTTGTATTATCTCAGAAAATTTCGTGTAATACTTTGTGAGATTACTCCCACATAATTTTTTAAGAAATATTTCAATTTAATTAGCATATTATTTTAACATAGTTTAGAAAAATGGTCTTCGAGACCAAGTAAACACATAAAACTAAAATTTTCTTTTGCGAAACCTCTACTATCTTCAAAAGAGCTAAACATATATATTGAAATTTACAACACATAATATTTACATTTCATATGAACTGATGCGAAACCAACTTTGAACACTGATGTGAAAAATCCAAAGAAAATTTTTGTAATTTACTCCTAGAACAGAACTATATCATATTACTTTAAGAAAGAGTAGTAACAACAATAAAATGTAATTGATAACAATAAAACAATTAAATTTAATTGATTATTTTAAGAATATAGTTCTGTATTCTTTATGATATTCAAAAATTCTTTTGCATTTTGATTTTGACTTGCGAAACCGCTAGAAGAACTGCATGGAAACATCGGGTTCCACTGAAAACAATTTGAAAGTGACTAATTTAGTGCAGTAATACTAAAATTCCTTAAATAAGAAGCAAATTTTTATGTAAACTGATTGCTTACTTTGCCTTGAAAGCTACAGTCTAAGTTAGATGATGGGCCTTGTTTTCTTCTACAACTTCTCTCTGTTTGGGCAGATGATATTCTAAGCACAGTAACCTAATTTCCAGTTAGAATAAAGAAGAAAAAATCAGAAGCTGAGGCTAACATAAAATCTGATACCATTTTTAATGAAAATTGCGTTTGCATGAAACACGTGATAAAAATATATATTAGTAAAGTTCCACTCACTAGATTATGATAGAAGAAAAAAGAGCTCATATTTCATCATTCTAATCAAGTTTGTGCAGTTCCAAGTCTAGAGAACTACTTCATTTAAACTGGTACACCGTGACCTAACAGACCTCGCTCTTCATAAAAGAATAAGATAAGATAAATTTGAAGGTTTGTTTCCCTGAAGCAAAAGAGTCATAATCATAAGAGATAATTATAAGACATTTTTGACAGAAGTATTATGTTTAGAAGAAATATTATTTTATTAGAATAATAGCCTTCTTCTTTAATCTTCTAAGGGCCATCATTGGTACATTTTCGATTATTGTTATTTTATAAGCCAGGCTCATATATCCTCTATAAAATGTATTTTCAAAGACGTTTCGCTTATAGTTTAATTCTATGAGCTGTTTTGTCCTCTCTCTCTCTTTTTTTTTTTATGCATTGGTACAACAAGGCAAATTTTCATGTGCCAACTACCTTTATCTTTTGTACGAATGTTAGACAAAAGCTTATATATCGCCCAAAGCATCTGCAGCAAACTTGGCAAGCTATCTAATTTGAATACGGTGAAGAGGATTACCTACTGAAAACAAGAGAATGCTTGTGAAAATAGGAGAATGGAAATATAACCATTACAATATACATATATATGTATATATATATATTGTAATGATAATATTTTTCCCCTTATATATAGATATATGTATATGTAATTATTATATATATAATAGTATATGTAATATATATATCTATATATATGTAATGTATAATATATATATGTATATGTAATATATATATATATATTATATTATATTATATATATAGATATATATATATATATATATATATGTATATGTATATGTATATATATTAATTGAAAAAGAAAATGTAAAGCTAACTGGTAATTAGACGTAAAACCTAATATGTACATATATATATATATAATATATGTATCACTTAATACTTGAATTTCCAGCCATTTGGGTTTCAAATTTTGAAGATAAGTTTGTTAATTTTAGATTACTAGTTTGATCTTTAAATTTCTAATTACCTGTTTATTTTAAACTTTAATTTTAAGATTGTATCATTTTTGATCTTATGATTTAGAATAAACTTTTAATGTTCTAATATGTTTACTTCTGTTTCTGAATTTGAAAATGAGAGTGTAGGGGATATGTCTTCTAAAGTAAGCACCTCGTTCAGATTAATTGTGTTCTTATTGAGCAACTTCAATTTTAAGATTATTTGCTTTTTTTTACAAGATTCTTTTGGCTTAAAGAGACTAATGTCTTTATTTGGATTGACTATTTATGTGACTTATGGTTTGATCTAGCAAATAATTTGATGCTTACTTGGAAGTAAGATGAAATACTCTCTTAATTTAGTTATTGTTAATTGATGGTAGATTGGTTTATCTTCTTGATAAGTCGATTAATTTGCGATCAATGACAGTAGCTACTTTTTCAATATTTAGAATTTACTTTTGGTACGAAACTTACATTAATTTGTAGCGCCTTAGCATGTTGACTTCAGATATGGAAATGTTAACATACTATACTAAGCAAGCAATAATTGCTAAATGCAGATGACAATTTTTGCGATGTACGTTTTTATTTAAAACGAAAATATATGACAAAAAACATAGTATTTCAGACCATCTTAACGAAACTTTTATGTGTCCGAATTATTATATGAGTTACTGATTAAAACTTTTGGAATAAATATATTATTTATTGCAGAAAATATTTTGATAATATTTAATTTGTAACAAGCAAGTCATAAAAAAATAAAAAAAAAAAGTAATATGTAAATAAAATATGGAGTCTATGCTTCAGTATTTAATGCAAAAATCTATGCTAATAAATTTCAAATATACAATTGTCCGAAAAACAAATGTGACCCACTGTATATTCTCACGGAAAACCGAAATCGTATGAAAGAACGGATAGAAAAATGTTTTGAGTCTGCAGTGATTTAATTTAAAAAATAATATTAGGATTTTAGAGTAATTATTATTAAAGCATTTTGTAATTATTTTGTATTATCTCAGAAAATTTCGTGTAATACTTTGTGAGATTACTCCCACATAAATTTTTAAGAAATATTTCAATTTAATTAGCATATTATTTTAACATAGTTTAGAAAAATGGTCTTCGAGACCAAGTAAACACATAACTAAAATTTTCTTTTGCGAAACCTCTACTATCTTCAAAAAAGCTAAACATATATATTGAAATTTACAACACATAATATTTACATTTCATATGAACTGATGCGAAACCAACTTTGAACATTGATGTGAAAAATCCAAAGAAAATTTTTGTAATTTCACTCCTAGAACAGAACTATATCATATTACTTTAAGAAAGAGTAGTAACAACAATAAAATGTATTATTTAATTGATTATTTTAAGAATATAGTTCTGTATTCTTTATGGTATTCAAAAATTCTTTTGCATTTTGATTTTGACTTGCGAAACCGCTAGAAGAACTGCATGGAAACATCGGGTTCCACTGAAAACAATTTGAAAGTGACTAATTTAGTGCAGTAATACTAAAATTCCTTAAATAAGAAGCAAATTTTTATGTAAACTGATTGCTTACTTTGCCTTGAAAGCTACAGTCTAAGTTAGATGATGGGCCTTGTTTTCTTCTACAACTTCTCTCTGTTTGGGCAGATGATATTCTAAGCACAGTAACCTAATTTCCAGTTAGAATAAAGAAGAAAAAATCGGAAGCTGAGGCTAACATAAATAATAATATTTTTGTGAGTAAAGAGTTTCTTTGCAGATTTTTAATCAAATAATTGAAATGATTTAAAATACTTATTTAAATTCTAACAAATATTTTCGTTGATGGTTTTAAATTTGTGTTTCTTGGATATTGAATATGGAAAGTTTTCTTATTATAAATTATTGGTTTATTACTTTACAGCTTTAGTGCGCTAAAGCTGTAAAGTTATAGGCTTTTTAATTTACTTTTAATTACTTTATTTAAAATGTATATGTATATAATATTCTCAAGTTATACTCTATCTCAGGTAGAGAAAGGCAGATATAAAAATTAACTTTCAAAATATCAAATGTTGGTTTGCTGCTTAGTTAACTACGAAGGCGAATACCCAGAAAGTCTTTACTAGTAACTAGTAATTTACACTTCTCTCACAAGTCCCGAATTATAAAATTTGTCATTTAACCAATGTCTAACAGAATACGAACTGGCTTCAGATAATCATCATTAGGATATGTGCTCTTTGTTACACTGCATCTACAGAATGTACTCCGAAAATTTTTGGTTTTTAATCGATTAATTTGAATATCTTCTTTACAAAGTAAAATTACAGACACGATTTTATATTTATCTGATTTTGTTTCAAGTTGGGAACAAATAGATCTGCCGTGTTTTTTACTACAAATTTCACACATTTTCTTTCCTTCCATACTTTTTTTATGCACGATTTTAAGACATAACAAACGCTAATCCTGATTTTTTTCAAAATATTCCTCTTCTCATCCACACTTTTAATTTCACAACGGCCAGAATCTTGTAATACATTACAATATGTACAATTATTTTCAAAAACTGATGCAACAGTTTCAAGTACAGGTACAGGGCTGGATACGGGAAGTTCACCGCTGGTCGTACAAGTATAGTTCCTCCGCACTGACTATGCAGTTTTCCGCAATTTTGAGGGAGAACATCCACCGCCTCCACTGGCAGACTGCTTACCATCGTTTGAACGTACAACTACAGTATACTCGCTCTCAACCGGCTGAAATGGGACCGAGGTTAAGCCAGTTAAAGGAAATTCTGGTTAAAGCGGAGAGCCTGGAAATTCGGCAACTCGATGCATAATTTTGCCATTTTTTTAAAAGCATCATCAGTTAAAGAACCAATGCCTGTTGTTCCACATAGCATAAAGCAATTTCCAATACTTTTGCTGTATTTGTATGTGATATGACAGAGGTCACATTGTCATCGATGTCGGAGTCATCGTCACCATAAACCACATCAGCGACAGCACGATAATGTCATCTAATAAAATTTCTTGCTGAAGATCCTTGTCAGTCGTCAATCACCGTTCCACGTCTTCAACATCAACATCTTGGCATCCACTAAGACATCTGAATGGCGATACAAAGTTATTAGTAGAAAAGTCTGTCTCTTCAACTGCAGCGACTGCTTCTCCTTCTGTAGTTCTTTGATATGGTGACCAAAATTTCCCCCAAGATTTTACCATTGTAGATTCGGCAACCTCTGACCGTGGCTCATCTATCATATAAGTAACTTCCTTTATATTAATCGCTTTCAATAAATCGATGACGCTTGAATCAGAGTTAGTTTCCTCACTGAGATGAAGCAATAGATTTAAGGTTTTCACCTCTATCCATTATTTTTAAGGTATCTAATCGCTTTTTCATTGAGACAACAAAGAGTTTTCGTTTACCACAACAACATTTAAACAAATTTTCCGAATCAAACAAATTATTAAAGCCCAATACGTTCGAATACTATCGGGAACAGTGTTTGAGATTTCATCATTTCTCCTTCTTTCTCCTACTTCAACCAACTTTATTGTGACCATCTGACCAATCGCCATTCTTCGGATTGCGATATGTGCGCCCTACCCTTTTCGTTTCAAGGTTAACACGTGTCGTATCTATTATTGAACTGCATTCTACCCCCCGGAGCCGACTGGGAGGCAACTTCTGGCGTTTTGGCTAGGACCTATACCTAGACAGACTCGACTTATGAGGTAAAGTAATCAGTCTTCACAGTGACTTTCCATCTTTCATTCGGTGGTATGTTCAGGCTCTGCAGGGACCGTACTGGCAATGTCTTGGTTGTGGGGACGTTACATAATTATGTATCGAAGGTTCCCTTGGTCTACACTGTAGGAGAGACTTTGACATTGATCTTCGTCCTTTTTGTCGGAGGCTGCTTGCCGGTCGAATTGACTTACGTTTCCTCCTTACTATGTGCAGTTTTTTCTCCCTGGTCATCTTGGATTACCTTTAGTGGTTGGAGCGTCATAATTATGTATGGGCTTTTTAAGCCTGGGTCTGGAAGTACCTTCTCCCTAGTGTAACTTCCCAACCTTTATTTCGGGTCCCATTTATTTTATAAATTAAGAGAAGTGTGCGATACCGTTAATGCACAAAGTTTTCCTTTTTTAAAGTTTATTTATTTTTTATTTCGTATTTAAAATATATAATTATGGTTTCTTCAATTTTTTGTAAAATTTTTTATTTTAAAAAAATTTTTACTTAAATTATTTACGGCCAGTTAAAGCGGAGACCCGGTTAAATGGAAGCCGATTAACAATGAGTTTCTTGCACCATGCTCTGTTAGCAGTGGATTCTCCTAAATACAAAACCTCGGGCAGAAGCCAAAATTGCAGATCAGGCAGGCATAAGAGTTTATGAATGTGTCCAACAACTAATATTACACAATATATGTGCACATGATACTATTCTAAGATACAAAAAACTTAAGTAACATACTCAAGTTTACTTAAGTTTTTCTTAAAAACTTAAGTGTTTTCACTTAAGTTTCCACTTAATGTTTCAAAGTAGCAATGAATGCACATATAAACAAAAAGTGAAAAAGTAGCAATGAATGCACATATAAGCAAAATAAAATATACAATAAAAAATACGTTGAGCAATAGGGCCTAAGCCAAGTAGCATAACTGTAGTAAGCAGAAAACTAATCAAAGGTACAATGCAGAATGTAGCAGAAACAGTGCTAATACATTGTGACATTGTAGTCACCGGAGCTACATACATATTACACATGTTGCTGAGCATTGTGCAGTTATAATTCGAATGCAAAAATGGTAAGAAATATATAATAGAAGCAAAACATAACCTTCTATATTATTGATACAAGAAACAAATCAATAAACAACATTGTGTGATGTTGCACAGCATTAAATGCATTCACCGTGAGGGGGGGCAGTCCGAGGTTCTCCCACCCCTCTTTTCCCACCGCAATCTCGAGTACTCGGCTCGCCGTGTATTTAATACACTTACAAATATCTATCCCTTTTCCGGGATTTGAATGAACTTTAAGTGAATGATTCCCATCAAACTGTTGCTGCCGTTGTTTAGACCAGCGCTTCCCAGCCATTTTCACGTCACGGCGCACCTAGCAAACATAACTATTATTACAACATAATGTGAAAGTGCATTTTGCACATCATTAATTTCTTTTTTTCAGGCTAATGATTCAAATTATAAGACATTTGTTGAAAATATTTCACGGAATTAAACGACACGAATAGAATACAAAATTTTGAGTGATTCACATTTGGCAGTTTTAACGTAGACTTACGTTCCCCCATGATGGTCTGTGGAAAAGAAAACCAGACTCTTTTGTGGGTTAAGGAAACGCTTAGGTCTCCACAATTAAAAAAATACACTGGTGTGCAAAAATTAAGGACGAGACGGTTTTTTCAATATAACTTTGTACAAACGCTTTCCAAATAAACACATTTGATACCGTAAGATCCCCAATACGTAAGGACATGAGTAATGTAAGCAACACTAAAAGAGAAATCAGAGGGATAAAAAGAAGCTTTATTGAAAAAGTAGCATGGAGCGCAATGCGACTGAAGGCCGAAACATCCCTGTGATGGGTGTCCAGCAAGAAACATCCGGTCTTTAATAGGGTATATGATCTCCCCTGACTGCTAGGCAGGTTCACAGCGTCTGCCCATGCTGAGAATGAGGGTGTCAATGAGTTGTTGAGGCATTGCTGCCCATTCGTCTTGCAGCGCCAATCGAAGCTCCGGAATCGTTACTGGTGGTAAGGTACGAGCTGCCAAGCGTCTGCCTAGAAAATTCCATACATGCTCGATGGGATTGAGATCCGGAGATCGTGCCGGCCAATCCATACGTTCAATATCCTCACTCTCTAAGAGCTGTTCGGCATCTGCTGTGCGATGACATGGTGCATTGTCGTCCATGAAAAGGAACTGCGGACCCATAGCGCCTGCACATATGGAAGAAGAATCTCGTTACAATAACGGGTCCCGTTGACTGAACCTGCGTCGAAGATGTGAAGATCTGTACGACTACCAAGTATGATGCGTCCCCAAACGAGAACACCGCCACCTCCATACCTGTCCCTTTCAATGATGTTCGAGGGATGATTGCGGCTTCCCCGCTCTCTCCAGATGAGTATGCGATGAGAATCGCTACTCAGGCTGAATCTGCTTTCATATGTAAAGAGTACTCGTCCCCATTCATTGTCTCTCGAATTCCGGTGTTCCCGGCACCACAGAGAACGCCTTCTCCGATGGGCAGGCGTTAGAGGTACACACCGCACAGGGCGTCGTGCAAACAGACCACCACCGTACAGTCTTCTGGCCACGGTAAAACGCGATATCGGTCGTCCAGTCGCCGTGTGTGTGTGTCGTCTAGCGATTTCTCCCGCTGTCTGCCGCCTGTTTCTTCTGGCCTGTAAGGCAATATACCGGTCATCTGCGGGTGTGGTTCCTCGTGGACGAGCACTACTAAACCCCCGGATAGCTATTCCTGTAGTTTGAAATTGTCTCCAAAGCCGTGAAATGATGCTGTGAGCAATTCCGAACTCTGCAGCCACACTTGTCACACTGCGGCCTTCCTCCAACTTCCCAATGATTCGACCTCGGGTAAAAGCATCCAGATGTCG